CCCCCCAAAGCAGGAATGCCTCCTGCTAGTTTAGCCCCAGCCAGCAGACCTGTGTAAATAGTGCTTGTTTGGCCTGTGTCTCTGCTCTCAGCGATCCTGTGGTTGGGATGGCAGTGCCTTTTCTTGGGCCTTGGGGAGCCAGGTTCTGGCCGGGGAGTGTGCCCAGCCCAGTGGGGCACTGCCAGGAGCTATTGTTCAATGCCTAGCAGCGGCTGAGTCTCGCTGTGAGGTGTCTGTCTGGAGGTGTCTGTCTGGGCGCTCTTCCTGCAGGAGGGAAGGGAGGACTCCCGGCAGGCCGCTGGGTGAATGAGGAGTGGGTGGGAGGGAGACCGGAGGAGAGGGGACTGAATGGGGTCACCGGGCAGCCTCTGTAAACACGAAGCCCTGCGGAGCTGCTCTGCTTGTCGTGATCGCAGCCCATCTCGTCAGAACAGTTGGATCCAGAACGATTGGGCTGTGCCTCACAGTCTGTGGGTTGCGGTGGATCCAGAACAGTTGGGTCGTGCCTCACAGTCTGTGGGTTGTGGTGGAGACGCCACTGCTGGTAGGGGAACTCTCTACTCAAAGTCTCCCCTTTGCCTGCGTATTTCCCAAGAAGGGAGCTGGCGACGCCTGGCAGTGGTAGCACGGCCCCTTCCTGTCCCCCAGGAGGCTGGGCCAGCAGCTCTGCGCATGCCAAAGGGTCTACAAGCCTGGGCTCTTCCACACCTAGGCTGGAAATGAGGCTGGTGGTGGAGCCTTTGTTTCTGAGTCATTTGCTGGGGATTCTCCCTCTGGCCCCCACCTTCATTCCTCCCAGGACCGTGACTGCCATCAGGCAGCAGGGGAAGTGGGTTCTGTATGGCACCGCTCAGCTGCACCACACCAGCCTTCCCTCCATGCCGCCGGCAGCTCCGCGGGTCCCCTCGGGGGACGTCGAGCCTGTGCTCTCTGCAGGGCAGCAGTACAGCCCCCTCAGCCTGGCCTATTCATGCTGAGCACCCAGGTTCCTCCACCAAGTTCACAAAGAGAAAGATCTGAAGCTGTCTATGAGATGGGTGGTGGTTTCCAGCCGCAAGGAAGAGACTCTACCGCCTGGTCTTTTAAGGAAAGGAGGCAGGGTGGCCAAGTGGAAGGAACTTGGCGTGGGAGTCATGGCCGCTTACCAGCTGAGCTGAAGCACAGACCCCCCCACCCCCAGGGTCTTTAGGATTCACTGAGATGTGTGTGCGACATTTGTGGCCCCAAAGAAGTGAGGGCTCCTTTTTCTCCTCCTCCTCGATCACTTTTCTCAGATAAACAGCAGCTGTCGGGGAGGGGGCAGAAGTGTGCCATCACCTCCCACCGCAGCGCTGTCACAGAGAGCATCGCCCGCCACTCTGGGCTGGCTAGAGGGCCAGGCATTGGCACCATCAGCACCATCCCTCAGGCCAGGCACACTTCCGCACTCCCCCCTGGGCAGGGCCGTTGGCTTTGCACACGGTGTCAGGAAGCTGGCGGCTGTGGGTGCTTGAGAGGCAGTAAGAAAAGGGAAGAAAGAACAGCTTGGTTCTGTGTTATCAGCCAGCATCAGTTGAGCCCCCCTCCTCTAGGGACCTCGCGTGCCCCGGGGCGTTTGGGTCCATCTGCAGAGTGGCCTTAACTTGGGCCAGGCTCGGGGTTCCCGGCTTCAGACTGCAAAGTCCTCCGACAGCAGACAGCAGGCTCCCATCACAAGAGTGCGGAAGCCTCGTAGGATCTGGGTGATAGCCAGGCTTCAGCTTCAGCCATTTCCCCTCGCCTGCTAGGCGCCCAGGGACACCTGGGGGCTGCTCACTCCTAGAGCCCAAGGATTGGGACGGGAAGTTTTACCCAACCCACTCAGGCCTGTGGCTGGATTTGGGCTCCTGCCTTCCGCTGTGGGGAGATGTTGCTCCCCAGGCACTGCGCTGGGTGTGAGCACTCCCTGCTGCCCCGCGCTCTCAGGGTCCCAGCCCTGGCTCCTCTTCACCCCAGGACCCCTCAGGCAGCCTTTTGCAGCCAGGGCTCTGGGTGCTGGTGAAATGTGCTCCCCACTGTGCCAACCGGGCAGGCAGCTGTGCGGTTTAGTTCTTCCCATCCGTGCTGCAGACCCAGGCTGGCTGCTAAGCACTGTGCATGAAGATGCTCTGTATGGGTTGTGTGGTGGCAATCGACTGCTCGTAAGAAAAGTCTACTGTCTAGCCTCCATGTGCTCAAGTCTGAGTCCTTGATAAGAAGATGAACCACCCTCGTGCCTCTTTCTCCTTCCCCTTCCCCTAGTGATACCTAGCGAGAAAAGAGAGTCCAGTCCAGTCCCGCTGAAGAAGCAAGCCCCAGGTCTCATCCCCTTGCCTGGCTCCTGCCCCCTATCCCAGCCTGGACCTGACAGGACAGACGGAGCGCAGCTCATGCAGAAAACTGTTTGGGACTGAGGAAATTCTGACTTGCCCCTGGGCTCCCAGCTGACTCACCAATCAGAAGGGGACGCTGATTCGGAATCAGTAATGTTGCTGTGTTCCCAAGGAAATCATCCATAAGTGAGGAGGGAAGCACGGAAAAGGGGCTGTATCTCAGATCCTCACTTTACAGATGAGATGCCGGAGACAAAGAGAGTGGGAATAAATGCCCAAGAAGGTCTGCAGTATGACTGCCTTCTCAGAGCTGGTCTATTTTTCCTCCCGTCTTTATTGGAGTTTTTTCCTCCTAGTATTTTATTATGAAAAATGTCAAACGTACAGCAAAGTTGAGAGTTTTGCAGTAAAAACCAAAATACCCCCCACCTAGAGTGTGCATTATACTGTACTTGCTCTATCACACGTCTCTCCACCCACCAATCCATATTATCCTTTTGATACATTTCAGAGTGAAATGAAAACACTAGTCTGTTTCTTTATTGGGGGTTGTTAATTATAAAACTAATGCCTGTTCAAACAATTCAAAAATATATAAAAATATTTTTCTTCTAATCCTCCTTTCCTCCACTACTATTAAAGTGTGTGTTTCCCTCCAGACTTTTTCCTGTGCTTCCACACACACAAATGTTTAAATGTGTATGGTACTAGTGCTTTTTTAAAAATGGGATCATACCCTTTTACAGATGTGCCACTTGCCACGTTTGGAGTCTGAAGTTACACTCCAGTGGCAGACCGACTGTGTGCTGTCTGCTTTTCCCTCCACGTCGCCCTTTCAGGTGGGCTTTGGGGCTTTGGGTTAGGCAGATCTTAACAGAGAACATGACCACAGGCTGTCCTGGTGGCCTGGAAGCTGAAAGTGACTTCTCTCCCAGCTCTTGTGCATAAGGACTTAAGTATTGAGTTGATTCTGTCTTAGTTGTTTTCCTTGGGGTTCCTGATGGGGGGCTCTGAGTCACCATACCCTTCTAGGCCATGAAGAATCCTCATTTTATGGGCCCCAGATGTTTCCCCTTCCACTAAAGTTATCAGAGGGCACAAAGAAACCGTAGTGGTGGAGGGCAGCCCCACAGAGGGTCCCTGGCCCTGCCCCATTCATGAGCCCTCTGACTTTGGCAAGGTGTCTGATTCTCTGGCTGCAGTGTCCCCGTTTGCAAAACAGGAATAACACCGTGTACCCTGCCTGGCTTGTAAGATCCTGAGGCTCACCGAACACACATGAAATCTCAGTGTGTATCACTGGCAGTGTTCACGATCAGTTAAAATCTTTCAGAAGTGGGGAGTTGCCCTGCTTCAGGCTTTGCTTTCTTTACATCCAGAACCTGTTCTCAGGGTATTTCTCCTATGGTTTTGAGAACTTCTGGGTAACCTTTTGCTGACTTCACCTCTTTCACCTGCCTTTCAAATATTAGAATTCACCTGGGTTCAGTCGTCTGCCTTCTTGAGATTTGTCTAAGCTCTTTATCCCACATCTACCCCTGTTGCCCACATCTCTCCTCTAAACCCCAGATCTGGACTTGAATGGACTCCAGCAGGTTTCCATTAGCGCATCCTGGGGGAGACGCCCGGTCAGCGCCTACCACCCAGCTCTGAGCTCATCATTACTTCCCAAGCTGGCCCTCCTCCTGGCTCCCTCTCGCTCTGACAAGTGTGCGCTCCCCTCCCCTGCCCCCCGTTTGCCCAGCTGGCCCAATTCATGCCATCCACCTCCCCCCATTGCTGGTGCCGGCCTTGAGTTCATCTCTCCTGCACCACGGCATTAGCCTCCATAGCGGGCTCCCCATCTGTGGGCTCTTCCAGTCATTTCCAGTAGTTTCAGGAGACTAGGTGTGATCAGTGCGTCTCCAAGGCCCTTCAGTGACCCAGATAAAGCCCAGGTAGCACAGCAGGATACAAGTCCGTCCTCAGGAAGTTGGTCTCACCTACCCCCCCATGGCCCCAGGACTCTGCACTTACCACAGCAAACATCCTGCCTTGCCAGGTGCACAGATGCTGTCCCCTTTGCCTGGAATATCCCTCCCTGAACAGTCCCCTCCCCGATTGGGCATCTCCCGTACTTTTCACATCTGGATCTGTGTGCATCATAAGACTTCCTGGAATTCCTGTGCTGTTCATTTCCGTCTTCTTGTTCAGCCGCCCCTGCTAGGCTATGAGTTTCTTGAATCCTGAGACCGTGGCTTATTCACTGAGTCACCAGTGCCCAGAATGTCATAGAAATGTCGTAGGGGATGCTGGCTCGGTCCCCTGTTGTGCTCAGGCTGTTCTGGTCACGGCTTCGCTTGGGGCCATGGTGGGCAGCAGCTTCCTTCCATTCATTCTTTTCTGGTGGGGTGTGGGGTGTCTTTTTAAAATATGTAACTGAGTTAAAATTTGTGTAACACACAAGTAACCATTTTTACATGTACAGTGTAGTAGCATTTGGGACATTCACAATGTTGTGCAGCCACCATCTCTGTCTAGTTCCAAACATTTCATCATCCCAGAAGGAACTCCTTGCATGATTCCACTTACATGAAGGATCTAAAGCAGTTAACCCCATAGAACCAGAGAGAAGTGTGGTTGACAGGGGAGAGGGAAACAAGCAATTGCTATTCAACTGGCAGAAAGTTTCAGTTATGGGGCTTCCATACAATAGTATACTGTATTCTTACATTTTTGTTAAGAGGGTAGATCTCATGTTAAGAGATCTCACGTTACCACAAGAAAAACAAAGGAAAATCCCTTACTCATTAAGCAGTCACTCCCTAGTGCCCCCTGCCCCCAGCCCCTGACCTACTTTTTTGTCTCTGAATTTGCCTCCTCTGGACATTTCACATAAACGGGATCAGAAAGCAGGTGGCCTTTTGCATCTGGCTCCTTCCACTCAGCGCCATGTTTTCGAGGTGCATCCACGTTGCAGCAGGCGTCAGCTCTTCACCCCTTTCCTGGCTGAGTGCATACGCCGTTGTGTGGGTCCACGCAGTTCATTTCTCCATTCATCCGCTGGCGGACATTTGGGTTGTTCCCACCTTTGGCTCTTGTGAATAATGTGGACACACATGTACGCGTATTTGCTGGGGTACCTGTTTCTTCCCTTCACCCTTGCCTCGTACCACTCTCCTCATCACCATTTTTTCCAAGCCAGAAATCCAGTGCACCTGGTCTGTGTGTATGTTTAGGGGGAAAGTCTGTTCAGGGAACCATTCTGTCTCGTGCTGCCTGTGCTGCACGCCTCCTCCTCCAAGCCTTTTTCGTCCTTCCTCGCCTGGGCCGCTTACTTGGTGATTAATCCCATTTTGTCTTCAGGTAGTTAGCGTGTGGTTTGCATGTCTTGTGTCCACAGTGAGGACCTTTATGTCAAGGTCCCTCTTGGGCTTTCGCTGACTCAGGTGACCCATGCAGTCCCAAGCAGCTCCTAGATCCCTGCCTGCTGGTGACTGACCCCCCGACTCTCCTCTGTCCCCCCTTTGCAGATGACGTGCTGACTAAAGATGCGGGTGAGTGTGTGATCTGCCTGGAGGAGCTGCTTCAGGGGGACACGATAGCCAGGCTGCCCTGCCTGTGCATTTATCACAAAAGGTACGAGAGGGCCGGCAGGGCCAGCTTAGCTGCACCCCAGACCCCAGAGGGCCCCTTCCCTGTGGGTGGGGGGAGAGAAGGGCAGACTGTCACTAGCCACCCCGTCCCCCAGCACTCTGAGTGGAGTCGAGGCAGAGGTCAGCAGGTGGGGAGTTCTGGACGTGCTGAGCACAGAGCCTGGGTGGCGGGCCCGACGGGGAGGCCTGTGGAGCCCCTGCCCCCTGGAAGTTTGAGTCCCCCTCCATCTCTGTGAGCCCCTCTGCTCCAGTGTGCAGACCCTGGTCTGGTGGCGGGGGGGGGTGGGGGCGCACGGGCGGGGGTGGCGGGGGGGGGGGGGGGGGGGGGGTCAGCACGGAGGGGTGTGCTGGCTGCCCTGGCCCTGCCCCTCCTCCCCAGAGGCCCAGCAGGCAGGAATAGCCACTACCTGTGGGCCCCCGTGCTGCCAGCGGCTATAATTAGCAGGACTGAGATTCGCCCTCAGGCTCCAGCATGAGCCTCATTCTTGTTTACAATTGGAAAGAAGACACCTCCTTACCCAGGACAGGAGGACGCTCTGTGCTGCCCGTGGCCTCCACCTGTTCTCGGCCCCTGGAGCCCCAGAGCTGCTTCCTGACACACAGGCTTTTCCAAAGCCTGATTCACGGGGCCACTGGCCATGGGGCAGCACATGGATGTGGCCGGTGTCAGAAAGGCGCAAGTGAGGCCTAAGGGGAGGGGTTCTTGGCCTGGGCGCAGCACCCAGCACTCCAGTGTCCCAGGGAAGCATTGACCAGAGCCAGAAGAAGGGAGTCTTCAGCTCTGGGAGAGACTTATGCAAATGATCTGTCTGGTTCCTATTTTGAAAATACCCAGATGTTTTACAGAAAGCTGTCTTGGGCCAATTTCTGTTCCCTCTCTGTTCAGACAGTGCTTTCTGTAAACACTAGAGACCAGGATTTCCTTGCTAGCCTCTTGTCTGGCTCTCCTGAGCAATGTCACTAAGCCACAGGGCCAGTCCTCCCCTGGCGCACCTTCTCCAGGAAGGAGGACTAGATGCTGGCTGCCCACCACAGCCAGCCAAGCCAGGTAGAGCTTGGGGGTCTCCTGAGAGGGAGACCAGGGAGGGAACCTCAGGCTGCTCCTGTGACTCAGGAGAGGGCTTGCTCAGGGCGATGACCAGCCTGCCAGGGCTTTGTTCCCACTTCTTTGCCCTTTAAGCCTTGGAGATAGTTGACTGGCTGCCCTGTGCAGCCTCCCACTCTCACCCTCTGACCCGTAGCTGTTGCCGTCCTCCTGGGCTCCATGCCCCTGAGGCCTTGTCCCTCTCGAGGGCACACTTCCTGCATCCTGCAGCGCCTAGGTCCACCCCAAGCCCATACGCACTGCACCGGGACCCCGGCTGTGCCAGGACCTCCCTGGGTGTCCTCCCTTCTGCTAGCAGACAGTGGGTATGTGGGGTCCCCGCAGGTGAGCATCAGGCATTCCCTGCCCAGAGACCCGACCCTTGGAGCTAGCCCCCAGGGAGCGGCCTGGCCAGCCGGTGATGTGTCTCCCTTTACATCTCCCCTCAGTTGCATAGACTCGTGGTTTGAAGTGAACAGATCTTGTCCAGAACACCCCGCGGACTGACCCTGCTGGGCTCGCTTGCTGACTCCTCTCAAAGGTGAGCCCGTGGTTGGGGTCGTGTCGCTCTGGGGCCTGGAGGCGGGGAGGGGGGCTGAGCTGCCCTCACGGCACCCCATGCCCCGCCTCCCCCGGCCAAGAGGGGTCGGGGGAGAGGGGAGCATCTCAGCAGCAGGGGTTCCGTGGGGTGGGGAGGGTTCCTGGGAAGGATGAGAGTCCAGACTCGCACATTGCGAGGAAGAACCTGCCGGGTAGAGGAAGGTGAGTTGGGGGGAGGCCCCTCATGTTCCCCGTGTCTAGGGCGAATCTCCCCGAGGAAGGTTCAGGAAGGTCCCTTGGAAAGTGCTGGGCAGGAGCAGCAGCACAAGCCCTGGGACAGGATGCTGCTTTGCACCCCAGCTGTGCCTCGTGCTTGCTGGGGGGCCGGGGCAGCTCCTTGCCCCTCGGTGGCGTGGGTATCTCTGCTGCTTCTTTGGGGATGGGATAATCTTGCTTGCGTCCCCGCGTGGACAGCACACTCATTGGACAAGACCGAGTGTGGGACGGCGCCTCGTTCCCTGCAGCGCTTGTCAGCAGTCAGCGCTTGGCTGGTTCTTCCCGCCTGCACCCACCGCCCTCACCCGCTTCCAGATGAATCTGAGGCCTCCAGGCCAGACCTGGGGCCCTGCCACCCAAGTCTCTGTTTGCACAGCAGACCAGCACAACCAGCTTCCTCCCGAGATGTGCACATGTGCTCCCCTATCACCGTCGTCCAGGCCCAGTTTCTCCCCCAGGCGCCCTGCTTTACTGCTGACCATTCTCTCCTGTCCCCATCCTACCTGTCCCTCCCAAGTTCTGGGCTGGCACTTTTCTGTTTTCTGCCCAGAGAAACCAAAACCCAACTCATCTCATGTGAATCCAAGGGTTTGGGGGCCTCTTTTGCGCGCGCTCTCTCTCTCTCCCTCTCCCTCTTTCTCTCGTTTTTTGTTTTCTTTTGTTCTTTGTTAGGTTTATTTTATTTATTCCAAGTAAACTCCCAGAACAGCTGATGATGTCAAACTATTCAGGGACATTTGCCCTTTTTACCTTCACCTCAAAAACTGAGGACGTGGGGTGAAGAAAAGGCGAGGGGAAGAGTGAGGCAGAGGGAATGGAGCTTGGTGCCGGCTGCAAGTCCAAATTCCCGGCATGATGTTTGGCTTTGGGGCCCCTAGACCGGAACCACAGGTGCCCCTGCCCGGCCTCAGCGGGATGCACGTGGCTGGCCTCGGGCCCGATGGAGCACGACTTACATCTTACGGTCCCCACAGGGACAGCCAGGCCCCCGTTCCTGAGAGGAGGCTTCGGACACTGGGGCAGAGCTGAGCTGGGGACACCAGTGGGAACAGGGCACCCCTCCTGCACTGACTTCCAGAGAATGGTTCTCCCTTTCTCCCTGAGGACACCAGATTGAATGAGAGCGAGTTTGAGAGAAGAAAGAATCACCCAGTATCCTTCCCCTCATCCTCATCTCAGGAGGGAAAGGGCATTTTCTTTTTCACCTTTGAAAGGCGTTGTGGGTCTGTCTCTAAAGTGTTTACAAAAAAAAAAAAATTATAAAAACAAAATGTCTAGTGTCGACTGGTGTTTTCCCTCGTGATGTTTACAGATTGCCGTCTGCTGCCCGGCCAGAACCCGCTCAGTGACAAAACGACCAGAGCCGGGTTCTCGCCACTCGCAGAGCAGAGCTCACAGCCCTCCTGTGCCCGGCACCCGGTGGTCTCTCCATCAACCGCTCTGCCTTGGTTTTTTTTGTTGTTGTTGTTCGTTTGGTTTTTTTCCCCAATTTTCTGGCTTGGTTTTGCACTTTTCTCCCCTTGGGACCCTGATATCTTGACTTCATTGCCAAAAACCAACCCACTGAGGACCTTTTCCCCTCCTCCTTTCCATTTCTCCTCCCCTCTTCCCTCCTGGTTCTGGTCAGTTCAGAGGATTTAACAATCACAAGTGTCCTGCAAAAATGCCTGAACGTTTTTCTTAGACCCTTGTGGATTTTTTTTTTTCCCAGAAAACCTAGACAAACTAAAGACTTATTAAAGGGATATGTACAGCTGCCCCTGTTTTCAGGCATTCTGTTTGAGAACATTCTAGCCATTGATGTTCACATGTGGCATCAGCCCCTGCAAGATAGGTTTCTGTATTTATATTTTAAAATACAAAAAAAAAAAAAACCTTATAAAATGTTTAAAAATACGTTCAAAGCTGGGGGAAAAGGCTTTCTTCATTAGTCAAGGTGTTTTGATATGGTATTAAAATAATGTCTAATAAAAGATGCACTGTGTGACTTCACTTTAATCAAGTATTGTTACACAATCAAGAAATGGGCGTTGACGGTCTGTCCCCTGCTCCCTTGCCTACCTCCTTAGCCTTCCTTCAGGCTAGCGTCGGGGCTACAGGTGTGTGATGTGGTTCTCAGCGGTCAGGCCTGGGTGAGGGAACGTGGCAGGTCAGGCCGGAGTCCCGCAGCTTTACAACCCATTCAAGCCTCGTGGAATCTATCTGCCATCAGCTGTGGAGTGGTCGTGACAGAACTCTTCTGGAAAGATCTGCAGGGCAGAGACCTTGCAGCGGATGGAGGCTGCAAGGATGCGGGTTCTTCCAGGCACTGGCCCAGACCGCCCCCCGCCCAATCCCTGGCTCCCTGTTCCACACCCTGCCCTTCCTGTTGCTCCAGCCACATCTCAGTGCTGACTCATGGGCATCCTTCATTGAGGCCCAGAAAGAGGCCCTGGTTTGGGGCTGAGCCAGCTCAGAGCCCTTGAACTAGAACCAGCCACTCAGGGCTCACACGAGTTGGCACACCTTGGGCTGGGTGGGAAGCTCAGGGCAGCAGGTAGCAGTGCCCACCTGGCCTCTGTCCCTGTGCCAGACCGGCTCCCGGAGCGGCATTCCAGAGCCTCCTGCAGAGCCTGTGAAGGAAGCTGTGGAGGAAGACACCTGCTCCGCCCCTTCTCGGGCCCCCTGTGTGCTGCTGCCTCTATGGGCTCTGACCCTACCAGGCCCAGGCTCTGCAGTTGTCTTCTGTCAGACACTTGCTGAAGCACCTGCTCTGTACGAGGGCATTGCAGGCTGGTGGGTGAATCTAAGCCAAGGCACTGGCACGCTCAGCATTTCAGAGAAATACTCAAGAGGAGTTTGTGGGTCTGAGCTTGTGGGGTAGTGACCTCGGGGACCCGCAGTCGCCATGGTGGCAAAAACCTGGGCTCTAAACTGTCTGTATGGGGCTCCTCTGCCTGGCAGAACCACGCTGGGGAAAGGACTTCATCTGAACTTCAGATGCCCCACACGTGAAGTGGGAACAAAGTCACGCAGCTCAGAGGCCACCGTGAGGGTCAGAGGATCTGCCCAGAAGCCCCTAGCACGTGCATAGCAGGCTCGCTCGTGGCTTTGTCACCACAAAGAGCACTGTTCTATTCACAGCACCTCCTGCTTCTGCCTGGCAACTATGTCTGCCTGTTCTATATTTAATTCCTCCAGCAAAGCTGGCCCTGAGGATCTCCTTGCCTGACCCCTGGGCCTGCAGGCGGAGGAGGCCTCTGTGCCCACCTCCGTGGCTTAGGCCCGGCAGCCTTGGCAGCGCCCTGGGTGAGCTGAGGGGTCGAGCTGGGTGGGGCAGGGCTGGAGCCCACGCCGGCTGCTATTCCAGGCTCCTGGGGCTGGTGCCTATCCCACCCCCAGCGACGTCACTCCCACCTGGCACACTGCAGCCCTCTGCTGGTTGCCGTCTCCTCCAAATTCAGACCCAGATTGCCAGGTCCTGGGCGGGGGTAGGACTGGGGTTGTCCGGGCTTTCCAGATGGAACTGGTGTCTGTCATCCTCCATCCCAACAGCTCTCCTCAACTCTGCCTTTCGGGGAGGGGAGGGAATTGGCAAGGACTGGGAGGTGGGTTCCACCCACTCCCTCTGCTAAGGGCCCAGCACACGTGAAGGGGAGGGGGCTTCCTGGAAAGGGGCACCTCACTAAAACCAGTCATCTAGGAGCCATATAATGGTGTCGAGGTTTTTAGGTCCTTATTCCTAAGGAATAGATGCTGAATTATGTAGGTGAATGATGTCAACAAATTTGTAACTCAATTCCAAATGGTTCCCCAAAAAATACACGCACGAAGTAAGTAAGGCAAAAATAGTCATTGTTGAATCTTCAGTGGCTAGTATTTCAGTGAACAGTGTACTTGTTCTTCCAGCTGTCCTGCGTGTTTGGAGTTTCTCCTAGTGAAGAACTGGGGGGAAGTGGCCATTTGCTGAACACCTACTAGTTGCCAGGCACTGAGGGGCACATCAGAGACAAGCCCTGCCCTGTAGGGGAGGAGCCTGCCCCTGCAGAATGCTGCCCCCGGGGGGCTGCTGGTGGCGGGCGTGGAGGGGAGGGCACTGGTGGCTGATGGTTAGGTGGTTCGAGTCTGCTTTATTGGGTGCTTGTGGGGGAGGGCCCATGAGACTTGCCCCACACCACCCCCTGGCACATCCAAGGGACAGAAATGTCACAGAGGAGCGAACTCAGGGCTCAGCCCCGAGTTAGCAGAGAGGAGGGGTTCCAAGAACCAAGCTGGTCTCAGGAGCCAGAGGGGCTGCCTGAACAGCTGGGGGGAGAGGTGGGGAGGGGTGGAGGGGGTGGAGGTAGGGAAGGAGCTCAGCGGTGGCTTGGGAGAATGGGAGTGAGGCGAGATGGAGTGTGCCCCTGGCTCCCCTGCGCCCCTCGCTCAGCCCCTTTCCTAAGGGCCAAGGCCTTGGGGTGAGGGAGATGGGCCTGCACTAGAGGCTCCTGGGACCTGCAGGGGAGTAGAGAGCTTACAGACTGGTTTCCAGGACTCCAGGCACCTGCTAGACCCTGGGAAGTGGGGGGCCCAGAGCTGAGAGCTGCAGGTCCCTGCAGAGGTGAGTGCTGGGCACCACTGCCCCAAGCAGATACTGGTGTCTAAGCTTTGAGGTGTTCGGCGCCCTCTCGTGGGCTTAGGGGGAACAACCGCCAGGTACCCCGGACAAGGTCCTCTGATCAGGAATCCTGACCAAGGCAGGAGCAGGCCCCAGGGTGGACAGAGCCTGAGGTTGAGGGCAGAAAAGCTGGTAGTATAATACATCACACTGTGGAGAGGTGTGGTACCAGGAAAATCACTTCCATTTGCAATGGTTGGTAGCAGCCACTTGAAGGACATGTTCAGAATGTTCTAGAGCCCAGTTGGGGCTCAGTGGGGGAGTCTGTGGTAAGTGATGATGGACATGGGCAAGTCCTTAGGCCCTGGGGCTCTGAGAGGCAGAGCAGCTGCCCCTCCTCAGGCTGCAGCAAGTCAGAGGGCAGGCCCGGGATGAGGGACGAGGGCATCACCAGCCAAAGGACAGAGACCTTGGAGGAGGTGGGGCAGCCAGGCACAGGGGGCCATTCACAGGTGCTGCCTGCTCATCCCTAGACAACTGCAAGTGGGGTTCAGGTTTATTTGGGGGTGTCTATGAGTGTGGAGCGGAAGGTCCCTTCCCCCACCAGCAAAGGAGCATTCCTGTCACCAGGCAGATGGAGTTGGGCTATGGGTGCTGGGGCCCCCAGCCTTTGTTCTCCTGCCCTGGCAGTGGGGAGGCTAAGGTAGAGGGGAGTCGTCCTAGTCTTTGGGGTGACTGACCCACACCACCTTACAGGATGCATCAGCGAGCAGAGAGGAAGCAGCTTCACCGGGAGTGACCCTGAGCCATTTACTGGACCAGCAAGAGGGCCAGGGAGAAGACCGCCAACCAGGCTTCTCCCTCCTCTCTCTGGCCTCGGCTTGGATAAAAGGGCTAGCGGGCTGGCGAAGACCCCTGCAGGGTCTGGGCAAAGGCAGAGCTATTCCGTGGCGGGAAAACAGGTTCCGGAACGGGAGGTGCCACTCTCTGGGGGCTTGTGGGCCAGGTGCTCCGAGTCCCTCACAGCACCTTGCCTGGGTTCATGAGGCCTCGGGGGTCCAGCGTGGCCTTGAGCTGCCGCATGGTCTCAATGCCCACTGTGCCCACCTCCTCCTGCAGCAGCTGCCGCTTGCCCAGACCGATGCCATGTTCCCCCGTGCACGTGCCATGGAGTGCCAGTGCTCGCCTGGGAAGCAGCGGGAAGAGGTCCTCAGCAGGTGCCGCTCCCACTTCCCTCAGCTCCCCCCCACCCTGCTTCACGCTTTGCCCTTACCTGACCAGCTGTTCTGCAAAGGCCTTGACCCTGAGGAGCTCCTCGTGATCCTCCGGGTCTACCACCAGGATGCAGTGGAAATTGCCGTCACCCACGTGCCCAACGATGGTTCCTGGGTGCCCAGAGGACAGAGCTGCTGCCCCAGCCCCGCCCCCACCCTCCCACCGCGCCCCGCATGGGGCCGGCAGAACCTGTGAGTCCCGAGGCCTGCAGGTCCTCCTTGGTCTGCACCAGGATCTCCGGCAGCCGGGAGATGGGCACACACACGTCGGTGGAATAGCCCTGAGGAGGGGCAGGCCGGTGAGCTTTCCTCCCTCACCCAGCCTGCCCGGGAGGTAAGGGGTCAAGGGTACGAATGGGCTCAGGGGGCTCGGCCTCTCACATGAACGGGCCTGCTGTCTCTAAGCCTCAGTTTCCCCTGTGCAACAAGGCGACTGGCCCGGCTAGGCTCCCAGGGCTCTCATCCTGCTCCCCACCCCCGCTACCGTGCAGGGCCCCCAGCACCTGGAGCCCAGCCTCCCCTTCCTGTTGGCTACGACCTTCCTCTTCACCACCTCTTCCTCCAGGAAGCCTGCCTTCTGTGTCCACACTGCCTCTGCTCGGTCCCTGCACCCAGGGCCTGGCTCGGGGCAGGGGCTCCCTCCCGAGGATTTGGCAGTCCTGCCCGCCGGGGCCTCTGCCCGCCGGGGCCTCTGCCTGCTGCCCTGGACAATAGGGCAGTAGGCTGAGGAAAGGCTCCCACGTCCACCCCTACCCGCTCACCTTGCAGCCTGGCCGCAGCGCCAGGGCAGCGTACCAGGCGTTGTGCCGCGCTGCCCAGAGCCGGCTGCGGTCCTCCGCCTCGTTGGCCCAGGAGAAGTGAGAGCCTCCGTTGTGCCGGATGATCTCCTCTGTCGGGGGCGGGGGGTTGACACCAGGCCCTACTCTGGGGCAGCCCGGGCCCCGCCCTGCTCCTCCCCGCCCACAGCACCTCAGCATACCTGTGCGCTGCACCTGCTCTGCCAGCGCCTGCTCGGAGCCGTGGAACTCGAGGAAGAGCGA